AACTTAAGGCTTGAATTTTTTCTTCAGTTCTTTCAGCTCAAGAAATGCTAAGTGTGTTCTTCCCTTTTGGTTTTCTAACTGCAGATCTTGGCACATTTCATTATAATAATTGACTCTTCTTGAGCTGCTCTTTGAAATCTTCTGTTTAGTGATTTTATCTTGTCATTTCTTCCATTTGCTTTAGCTACTCTCCAAGAGCATGTTTCAAAGTCTCTTCTGACATTCATTTTTGTCTTTTCCTATCTTTTTAATGACCTTTTGTTTCCTTCATGATGTTCTTGATGTCATCCCATAACTCATCTGGTTTTTGGTCATTGGTTTTCAATGCATCAAATCTCTTCTTTAGATGGTCTCTAAATTCAGATGGGATGTAACCAAGGTCTTATTTTGGCTCTCGTGGACTTGTTTTAATTGTTCTTAGCTTCAATTTGAACTTGCATATCAGCAGTTCATGGTCTGTTCCACAGTCAGCCCCTGGCCTTGTTTTGGCTAAAGATAATGAGCTTCTCCATTGCCTCCTTCCACAGATGTAGTTGATCTGATTCCTGTGTATTCCATCTGGCAAAGTCCACGTGTATAGCCACCATTTTGTTGTTGAAAAAAGGTATTTGCAATGAATAATTTGTTGGTCTTGCAATCTCCAGCATCATTTCTATCCCCAAGGCCCTATTTTCCAACTACAAGTGATTCTTCTTATTTTTCAACTTTTGCATTCCAATCCCCAGTGATTATCAACACCACATCTTGATTGCCATGTTTGGTCAATTTCAGACTGCAGAAGTTGGTAAAAATCTTCCACTTCCTCTTCTTTGGATTTGTTGGTTAGTGTACAAATTTGAGTAATAGTAGTAGTAACTTATCTTCCTTGTAGGTGTATAGATATAATCCTGTCACTGACAGCATTGTACACCATGGTAGATCTTGAAACACTTTTTGTGATGATGACTGCCACACCAATCCTCTTCAATTTGTCATTCCCAGCATAATAGATCATATGGTTGTCTGATTCAAAATGGCCAAAACAGCCCAATTCAGCTCACTAATGCATAGGATACTGATCTTTATGCGTTCCATTTTTGACAACTTCCAATTTTCCTAGAGCCATACATCATACATTCCATATTCCAATTATTAATGGAGGTTTGCAGCTATTCCTTCCCATTTTGAGTCTTGCACATCAGCAAATGGAAGTCCCAAAAGCTTTACTCATCTACGTCATTAAGGGCAACTCTACTTTGAGGAGGCAGCTCTTTCCCAGTCATATTTTGAGTGCCCTCCAACCTGAAGGTCTCATTTTTTGGCACTATATTGGACAATGTTTCAGGGCTATTCATAATGTTTTCCGGTAATATATCAGACAGTGTTTTACTGCTACTCATAAAGTTTTCAGTGTCCAACTCTTTGAGAAGTGGATGGGCCCTTCCTTCTGAGTCTGTCTTAGTCTGGAAGCTCTGCTGAAACCTGTCCACCATGGGTGACCCTGCTGGTATTTGAAATACCAGTGGCATAGCCCCCCGCCTCACAGCAACATGCAAGCCACCACAGTACGACAAACTAACAGACAAGTGGTGGACCAATACTATAAGTAGGGACTATCAGTTCTGCAGCCTGGTGGTGCAGTGGTTAAGCACTCAGCTGCTAACTAAAAGGTCAGTGGTTTGAACCCACTAGCCACTCCTTGGAAGAAAGATGGAGCAGTCCGCTTCTGTAAAAATTTACAGCCTTGGAAAACCTGTGGGGGCAGTTCTACTCTGTCCTCTAATGTCGCTATGAGTCAGAACCAATTTGACAGCAATGGGTTTGGTTTTTGGTTTACTCTTATTTTTAATGTTACAGGTGAGTAAACACGTGAGTAAAGGAATTTTGGGCTCATCTATATTGTTATGATTTGATTAGTTTAGGAAACAAACATGACTTATTGGACTTTACTAAGCAGGTCTTGTACACTCAGCAGTGATTTCCCCAATCAAAGAGAAACCTCTGGGACTTGAACCACAAAGAGGGTTTCTTTGTCTTCCCTTTCCCAGCAGCTGAATACAGGATTCACTGTCCATTGTTCATGTATTTACAATTTGAAATAAAAGTTCATCTTTGTAGCTACAAACAGTCACCACTTTCTGGCTCCAGATGGGACAGAATTGATCAAAACCATAATTTAAGTGGCACTAGTATAACTTCCTTCAGATATTCAGTGTAGAGGAACAAACTGAGGGAACACAACGTGTAATAGCGGATTTCATGTAGTGCTGGGAGGTTTAAAAATTTAGGCTGTCAGTCGTGGATACTCTAAATCTAAAGGTTAAGGTGATCTGGAAAATCTCTGTCCTTTTTCTGTGGAATGTTTCTGTAAATCCACAACTGTTCTAAAAATGAAGTCTATTTTTAAAAAATAATAACAGTTAAGGTACATTAAGGAGCTCTGGTAGCTCAGTGCCTAAGGCACTTGACTACTAACCAGAAAGCTGGCGGTTTCAAACCCACCAGCCACTCCTCGGAAGGAAGATGGAGCAATACACTTCCACAGTGATACCGCCTCAGAAACCGAAGTAGGGGTCGCTATGAGTCACACATAACAACAACAAACAACAAAAGTACATTAGGTTTTAGTTCTGATTTACCTTTAAGCTCAGAAATTATTCATTCTTGAAGAAAGTTTTTGTTAATTTGGTTCAAAGCTTGTCATTTGGTACATGGGAATGACAGCTGCCTTTAGATGTGTCCAGGTATTTTCAAGATATGCTGTTCTTGGTAATTTCATACAAAATGAGTAAGTTTTTTTTAACTATTTTTTCCTCCTAGACATTAAAGTATGTGTCCTTTGTGGATGAACCTTACATTATTAGGAAGGTAGACCAGCAGCTACTTGGGAAAAGCCTACAGAATGTGAAGGGTGAAGAAGTTCCAGTAAGTTAAAGTATTTAGTCTTTTTAGTTTTTTTTTTTTTTTTTTT